ATGACTTCCAAAGCTCGGTCACCATGCTTCTCAACTTAAAATTGTAAAAGGGAGAAACTCGTCTACGCAATCTAGGCCCCTTATGTCATAGCCCAGCAAGCCCTGGAGACCCAAGGGTTCCCACGCACACGGTCTACTACACACCCACAAGCTGCTCAGGGCTGCGAGCATCCCGTTGTATCGAACCTACTCATTGAGGATAGGGTCTTAGCTATCAAGTACTACTCTCTATTATTGATTGAGACCCAAGGTCACAGCCCCAAGGAACAGGTTGCCACGTTTGCGGCAATCACCATTCCCAGCCGTAGCGAGGTCCTGGCAAAGAGTGAGCAGAGGTTACAGGGTTTAGGGTTTAAAGAGCTAAGGTAGGCTTGCTGCGATGCGGGCAGCACAAATGCAACATGAGTCTGCACTGAGACTGAGCAGCAACTATAGTACGCGGCCCCAACCTTGTTTTTGCCACAGACACGGGCAGAAGATTTGGTGATCATCGGACATGATGACATGCTGCGCAAGCTTTACATCTGGATCTCTCAAGCTGACGGGATTACTGTTTTGAAACAATCCGCTCCCCATCAGGAAGAACCTTCACGCTGGCGCAGTCACAGCCGTCTCCAACTCCGTGATAACATCCAACTCTACTTTGTAGCGATTCTTTGCATCCTCGCTTTTGGAAGCTGCAATCGCAGCCTCATACTCTTGCTTCTTCTTCTCCAAACCTTGCTGAAGGTTGGCCTGCCTGCTAGCTTTGATGATCAGGGGATGTCGCAAACCATAGGTCACCTCCTTCACACTCTCCCCCACAATCAAACCAAAGGGCACAAGGAGCAGATCGCCCGCAGTAATCGTTGTGGCCCACACCGAACAAACCTGGATGTACTCTGCAATCATCGCAGAATTCATGCTCCGGAAAAACGATCCCTGCCGCGTCACTGGAATCGGAGGAGCAACACCTTTGCGAATCATGAACTGCTGCAATTGCAAACTGTCTGTGGCCACCATTGCACGGCTTCCTTGGACTGTCAACCGAACTGCTGGTAGGCCACATGGTTCACTGCAGACCTTGTCATAGTTGGTATCGATGCCGAAAATGCTGGTCACCATTTGCTTCTTCAAGGTCTCACCCACAGAGTCTGTGGGCACCAAAGCTCCTGAATCTGCAAAGAGCTCCTTAAGCTTTGCGCTGAAGTTCCAGGCCTGAGTCTTGTCATCGTCCTCCACGGGTTTGGACGCACGGATGCCAGGCTTTTGCTGCCTGCCAATGTCAAAGCCTGCGCTGAAGCCATCCATCTGGCTCTTCACAGAACCCAACGCATCTGTCAAGAGATCCTTGGCCTCAATGATGATTGGGGTGGTCAAGTCAGCATCCTTGAGCTTCTCCTTGGCCTCAGCCATGGTCATGCGGGGAACCTGGAGTGCAGTCGCCGCCCCCTGATCAAAGATGGCCATGGCTTCCTTGGAGGACTCATTAGCCTTCTTGCTCTCCTGCGCAGCCGCCTTGATCTTTTGGCGCTTCAGCTGCTCCTTGGCCGCCTTGATGCTGCGTTCAGCTTTGGTGGCATTCTGCAGGAGTTGCGACAACGGCGCCTTCATCTCGCTGATCGAGGCCGTGACTTCCTCCAAACATGTGAGCCATGGAAACTAAACTGACTACCATCCCAAATCAAAACCACACCATGGGCATGAGCTGTCAACCTCATCTAAAGCACTTGCACTGTCCTTGATGTGCTTGGGCAGCGTTGCTGTGTGGAACTTCTGGACAAGCTCCTGAACATCGGTCACAGGCCTGAGCTTTGCATAGAGCTCGCAAGGGGGGGCGTTGCCCAAAGCAACAGGAACGGAAGCCATGGACTCGTCAGCGGGAGGCGCACTAAAGCGAGCGATGAACTGCTTCACCTGAATCAGGACTCATTTTGAAAATGATACGCAAAAGTACATGCTGCAGCTCCTGGCTTAGGGTCTATAGGGTTTGGGGTTTATGGGTTTGGGTTTAGGATTGGCTGGGGAGTTTGGGGTTCAGGGACTCGGGGCACTGGTGCATTGCCGGCATTGCCTTCTCTGGGTTCTTCTGCTGGAAACACAAGTCGATCGCCTCAAGGCGAACTTCGAGGATCCGAAGCTCCCCAGCGAAGTCATCCCGCGCTGAGTCCGGGAGCTCAGCAAGCAGCTCATCCTTGGCAACCATTTGCTTCTTCAGCTGTTCAAGAGCCTTGTCCTCAAAGGCTTTGAGCTGGTTCGTGAAGAAGCGGACATTCGAAGAGACAACACGGTCGCGGTCGACCCACACTGAATCAGCCTCGCGAGGTGCACCATCAGGCTTGGCACCATCTTCGCCGATCTCCTCGTCATCCTCCTCGCCATCAACGTCAGGCAGGAGATCAAGCACGTTCAGGAGAAAGCCATCGTTCCCGCCAAAGGTGTTCTCAGTGCGGGTAAGTGCCTGAGCAACCTCTTGGAAACCCATGTTTCGGTCATGGTTCTGCATGATCTCGCCTCGGAACTTGTCGACGTCTGCAGCGGTCCCTTTCTTCACAGAGTCTCCAACACAAAGAATCTCTTTTTCTTTGAAATAGGTACTCCGAAACTTCATGAGATCTGCCGTCTTGATCCACACCCGGACCTGTCCATTTGGCCCCGCGTGATCATACATCACGTCTGGACTCTTGTTCTTGATGAGGGTCATGAACTTCAGCCACTGGGCTTGGGCTTCCTCCTCACGGAGTCGGCCCCCGCGAGTAGTCTGCGCATGCTCGATGTACAATCGCTCGAACATCATCTCCCCCAAACAATCTTTCACGATGCCGCTTGCAGCTGTAACCCTCTCCTGGTACTGCACCAGGCTCCATGTCCCGCGCTTTCGGCCGCAGCAGCTTGCACCTTCATCCGTTGCCTCAGGGCAAAGATCATGATAGGATGCAAGCATCTGCTGCAGCTTGGCATCATCTTGGCGGCATTCCGCCACAAATTCCTGCGCCTTGACGCCTTGCCGGGACGCCTGCTTCGTGATGTTGTCGAGGGCCCTTTTGCACTTCACGCATCCCGGCCAATTCGGAGCACATTCTCCGGGCTGGAGTTTTCTGTTGCATCCACGGCATTTTTTGACAACAGTGCGTTTGACGGCTTTCGCCTTGGTCTTGGGGGAGGCCTTTGCTTTTGCTTTCGCTTTGGATTTCTGAGTACTCTTGGGTTCTGCTCGCCCCCTTTTCTTAGGTGGTGTTTGCACCACATCCTCATCTGCCTCACCCTCCTCTAAGTTCCCGAACCAGGCAGCATCGAGTGAGTCGGTAATTGATTTGGCCATTCCTTCTGCAAACGACCTGGGAACGTTGATTAAAAGAGTGCCAAATGCACCTGGTGTTAGAAGCCACGAGGCGTCAATGAAATAAAAGACGCAGCAACATGCACACAAACTCACACAGACCAGAAGCTACACCGTCAAAGGCAAGTCGGTTACTCGGACTCGTTCAGCACAGCAGGCACAAACATGGCGGAGCAGCCTCTGGCATCCCAGGAACTCAATGGCCTCAGCAACTGCTTTGGGAACAAATCGAACAGCACACATGTCTGACCAGCACCTCACTCAAGCTTTCTCTCACAAACAATTTTCTCTGCTCACATGACTCTGTTGCGAAGGTCCAACTACGGTGTCTATGCGCAGGTGCACACATGCAGCATCATGTTGCGGACGAACCAGACGACGCATCCTTCCTCTCAGTCAGCATCAACGCCATGGCAAGAAACAGGCCTGCGACTCGGCAATGAACTGAATTCCCAATCATCTGTTGGATTTTCCTGCAGTCCACACAATCAGTCGCTGCATCATGGAATGGGAAAGCTTCGCTGCCCAGCATTGATGGCCACCCAAAGGCTTGAAATAACTCGACGGGAAGGATCTCACGTCCATGCTGCTTGGAAAAGACTACTGAATTTCGCAGAACAGAAGGAAACATGTGGCTGAAGGACTCTCTGACCTTCACATTCTGTGACAAATCCCAGATGGGCAAAGATGGCATGACCTTGCCACCCAAGTAGTGCTCTGACAGCCTCTCCTCATACTCATCCAAACGGTCTTGGCAACCTGCGGTCAAGGCGCTCCTACCATTCGGTTCACCCTCAATGGCAAGACCTCGCTGGAGCGTCAATGCTGACAACCCCACTTGCACTTGCTCAGCAGGCAAGCACCAAAAGCTGTGGGCGTCCATCACAATCTCAGCGCTGCATAAGCTGAGGAAGAGCTGCTTTGTGAAATCCACTTGCATTGAATACTTTTCTCCAACAGTCCAGCTGAACTTCCGTGGCCGCTTCATCGGCACACCCACCTCCTCTGGGCAGAGCTGCAAGACTGTAGAAGTCCATCCTGCTTCAGGAGGATAGAACAATGCCAGGCATTCTTCAGTGTTAAAACAATGGCTGCATTCTTGAAGAAGAAAATCTACAGAGTGGCAGGCTGCGCTCCCAAACCAAACGGCAGCTGGGACAGCTGTTGGATGCAACCATCGCTGACGCAAACCCTGAGGACTGAAGGCTATACATGCGTTGCCACCGCACTCAAGCCTGATATCACCATGCTTCATGGGCGGGTCGTAGCTGCATACTTTTTCACACACATAACAAAAACCCTCATAACGCACGTCGCCCTCCTGATAAGCTCTGTGCACAAGCTGCTTCAACTTCGTCATGCATCGCGTATTGAGACTCTCCATCTCCTTCTGCATAGCGGCCTTTGCATCCTTACCAGACTTGCCTTTGTGCTCTTGCTTGAACCTGTCCGCTCTCTCCTTGAGCGTGTTAACCACAAAGTTCATTTGGTCCAGAACTGGCTGCTTAACCTGCTCTGTTAGGTCCCCAAACATGTGCAGAGGGCGAAGTTCTGAGTTCAGCACAAATTGGCGGCACGCATGATCCACTTCAAAGCAAGACCAAAGAACGATGTCACTGGTGCCCTCGCTGAGGATGCCATCACGTGCAGGAGTCTTCGCTGAAGCTAGACGCTGAATCAAATGCTCAAAGGTGCACATTCCCGAGTACGCTGATGTAATGTAAATTTTGTTCTTGAACAGGTTATCGCGCAGCCTTGACTGAATGCCAAACTCTGCAAGCAACCGATCTTCCAACACAGGAACTTCGGAAGGCCAGGCAACCAACTTCTCTGGGCTTGAGATCTCGCACTCTGACAAAGTGTCAGTGTCCAAACGCATCATTTTGGAAGGTCGGGGGCCCTCCTGCTGTGGCCTCTCCGGAGATGACATGGCCAAAGCAAACAAAGTGGAAATGCACCCTGGATCAAACCGAATCTGCTGTAGGCTTTCAAAGGCATCACCACAAGGACTTGACAAACTTGAGTTGAAATCTGTTCCAACATCCCTCCAGGGCAGAAATGCCGGCAACTGAATACATGATCATGCATTTGAGGCTGCCAAGCACATGTTGCTGCTCCAGAGCAGAAAAACATGTCTTTCAAGGTGAGTCAAGCAAAGTTCTGGGCATCAGGCCACGCGCAGCATTCATTCAAACCTGATTCAGCACCGAAAACACACAAACAGGCGCGAACATGTTAAAGTGTGGCAGACAACTCTGAAACCCTGCCAAAACCAATCAAAATGGTTATTTTGCTTGAACAACACACAAGCGTCGCGCAAGCGTCGCGCA